GCTCCAGGCGTCTCCCGAATGCTCTGCCGGGCCTGGTTAGTTTATTTCTCCTCCAAATGAATTTTGGCTTGTTGTCTTCTTTGCTGCTGTTTTCGTTTTGTGTGTGTGCGTGTTTTCCCTGTAAACAAATTTCCTAGATGACTTGCAAGCGAACTCTTAACCAGCAATTCCATAGTAGGCTCCTTTTGTAAAACGAGGCCCTTCTCATGTCCAATTTGCCTCCTTTTGTACATTGCACTTTTTCCTGGTTAATGGGAGAAGCAGAATTCTGCTTTGAGATGTGCTTTCATTGCTACTCAGATGAAGAGCAAACAGCCTCACGCAGGAAATGAGTAAATCCTCGAGCATGTTGGTGCAGAGGCTCCTCTTCTCGGTGTGATTTTTGTGCTGTGATTGTGCAATTTGGGTAATTTGAGCTTTATAATTCCGTGAAGGAAATGTGATTTAATAAGGATTTCTGAGAACGTGCTGTTTTTCTAAAGCAAGGCGAGCTGTTGTATGTTACTTTACTCGCTCTTACTCCTCTGGAAAAGCCTTCCACTATTCATCCCTTGCTCAGTCAAACCACAGGCCTTTTTATCAGCTGAGCATCGGGAAGCCTTAAAAGTTTTTCTTGATTTCACAGTAAGAATGTAAGAAACTGCTGTGCGCTGGAGCAGATCGCTGGTCCTTCTAACCTGACTTTCGAAGGCGATCAAAGGATGCCTTTCCAAGAATTCTGGAGTTTTCCCAGCTCAACCTGGAGATGCCAGAATCTCACATTTCTGCACTGAAAGAAGATGTTTTGCTAGCAAGTCAGGATCCCTTCTCCTTGCATCTGCAGGGGGATCCATTCCGGGAAATGATCATTCATATCGAAATGAGCAAGCGCTCCATCTCGCAACGGCTTAAAACAGGAGTGTCCAACCTTGGCAACTTTTAAGATTCGTGGACTTCACCTCCCAGAATTCCTCATCTAGCATAGCTGGCTGGGGAATTCTGGGAGCTGAAGTCCACAAGTCTTAAAAGTTGCCAAGGTTGGACACCCCCTGACTTAAAAGCTGAGCTACAATCTAAACAAATCCTCAATCCCCCATGAAGTTCACTAGTAATCTGACAGCAATCATCCCTCAGTTTGCCTTCAGGAAATTGAATTATTATAAAGAGGAATTAAGACTCCAGCCTTCTTTCCTTTTTCAGCCCCAGGGTCTGCTCTATAAGTTTAAATATTAATAAATAGGCTTAAAACAATGAGTCACCCTTAACTACCTCCCCATCCCAATTAGAAAAAGTGGGGGGGGGGAATCTTTATACAAGCAAGCTTATACGTTGGTTCTGCTGCTGGTTCTTCAGTTTTAAAAATTGCAGTTCTTTGATAGTGGGTTACTTTACACATATTTTAGCTTTAGTGGGCCAGGGTCCCTTTGGGTAACAACCAGGGTGCCTTCTTTAGGCCAGAAGCACCAATTGCACCAATATTTACTTATTTAACCAATTTATATGACCATCTACTTACAATGTGCCCTACACCGTCTTGAAGGTCTTGAAGCATATCTGGTCAAAATCCAGACAATAATGAACACTCCTCATTATACCTACAGGACATTGTTGCTTTGGCTGCTGTACAGGTAATCCTCAATTTGCGACACACAATCGAGCCCCAGATTTCTGTCGTTAAGCGAGACAATTGTTATTGCCCCGTCGTACCACCTTTCTTGCCCCAGTGTTAAGTAAATTCCTGCAGTTGTGAAGTCGGCAACACGGTTGCTAAGTAAATCTGGCTTCCCCATTGACTTTGATCGCAAAAGGGGATCACCTCATCCTGGGATCCTGCAGCCGTCACAAATAAGGAACCAACTGCCAAGCGTCCAAATTTTGACGAACAATGGGATGCTTGCGACGGTTGTGTCCGGCTTAGGATCACAATTGAGCCCCAAATTTTCCGTTGATAAGCGAGACAGCAACATTCAGATGTTTGACAACTGACTTACATTTATGACGGTTGGCAGTGTCCCCGGGATCATGTTGGCAGTGTCCCCTTGAGCAGTTTTCTGACCAGCACTAAGTCAGCGGGGAAGCCCAATCAACAACTGTGTTACTAATTTAACATCTGCGAGAAAAGTCGTACGGTGGGGCGAAGCTCCCTTAACAAATTTCCCACTTAGCGGCAGAAATATCGGGCTCAACTGTGGTCGTAAGCCGAAGTCCAAAGGCTGTTGTGCGTCCATTTATCCTCTGGCTCTTGGCATGAAAGGGAAGTGTGAGTTAGGCGTGCGAGGGTTCCAAGTGGGGGCTGGGCTGTTCTTGGGTAAACTGACAGAATATAAGGTTGACCAGTAAAACCTGGTGGCCTGCCTTAGTCCGGACGTTGACTTTCTCTAACGGCCACTACTAAACCGTCGTAAGTCACCTTCTACTGTCACAGAGCTCGCGGCCACTTCTTTGGGAAATCAAGTTCAATATTCAAGTGGCCCTTGGCTAAGAGTGGTCATTTAACAGCCGTTGAAAGTTTCAACCAGTTTAAAAAAAAAACAAAAAACAGTGGTCAAAATTAGGACCACGGTCACACGATCAGGTTACTGGCACGGGCAACCGGCTTGTGTTTACGACCAGTTGCGGCTTTGTGTAATCGCAATTTACAGTGTTTCGGGGTGATTTCTGGCACAAGATCCAGTTTAAAGAAAAAGATTTGCCTTCAGGACCACATGGTTGCTTAACGATCCTTTGGTGACTGCCGTTAACAGGGTCATAAAGTGAGGCTTAATATCAAGTCCAATCACTGGCAACAGCTTTTGACTGATACTTCGGTCTTCGCTGTGGTTGTAAGTCTGTATTCGGGGTAAAAGGACGAGAGTTTGTGTGTTTCATATTATTTTACTAGCTGTACCCAGTCACGCGTTGCTGTGGCTCAGTCTGGTAAAAGCGTGTGTTGCTGATGGCGTGGTTTTCAAAAAAAGCATGTTTTTACCTGTCACAGGTGTGACATTGATATAAGTATATAAAAACACGCGCGTATTCGAATGCAACGTTGTGTCAAAATTTCAAAGCAATCGGTGAAGAACTTTCGGAGATTTAAGATTTTGAACAAACGAACATTTACATTTTTATTTATATAGAAGATTGATGTTACTAAGTTACTGGAACCGGGGATCCCTCTGGCCAGCTGCTGACCTTCCTCTTCTCCCCCCCCCCACTTTCTTACCTGCCACAGTAAAAAATAATTCCACCTGGATCGGGTTGGCGGGGAGAACTGGTGAAGATTTGTCTTGGTGCAATCCACGTTTCTCCCATCAGTGGTGGGCAGGAGCAAATCTGAAAGATGTCCTCGGGCTTTGCTCGGGAGTGTGCATCCATCTTGGGTTTTATTATTCTAGGTCTCTGCTGGGTAAAAGGATGAGCCTTTACAAGCAGCTGCAGCATCTCGTAACCATAATTTACTATCTTTTGGGGTGATTTCTGGCAAAAAGAACAATAACCCCACACCCATTTAAGGGAAAGGATTGGCCTTAGGGACCATGAGGTTGCTTAACAATCCTTTGGTGACTGCTGTTAACAGGGTCATAAAGAGGGGCTTAATATTAAGTCCAGCCACTGGCAACAGCTTTTGACTGATACTTGGGTCTTCCTAGTGGTTGTAAGTCTGTATTGGGGCTAAAAGGATGATAAAGGTTTGTTTAACTGTGTGTATCATATGATTTTATTGATGTTACTAATTTACGGGTGATACAAATTTCCACAGTTCCGTTTGTAATATCCAGTTGGAAATCATTTTGGGGGAGTTGGTTCTTGTTTTTTTCCCCCAATAATGCTATTTTAAAATTAACAACACTGAGTTGTTGGAGGAATTAGCTTCCATGAGCTTTAGTTAAGTTTTGGGGGTTTTTTAATGCCTACTTCTGTTTCAAAACTATTAGAAGACTCTCAGTAGCCCGAGTACTGAAAACAAAACGATACAGAATAACCGAGTTGGAAGGGACCTTGGAGGTCTTCTAGTCCAACCCCCTGCTCAGGCAGGAAATCCTTTACCATTCCAGATAAGTGGCTGTCCAGTCTCTTCAAAATTTCCAGTGTTGGGGCACCCAAAACGTCTGGAGGCAAGCCATTCCACTGATTAATTGTTCTCCTTATCAAGAAATTCCTCCTTAGTTCTAGGTTGCTTCTCTCCTTGTTTAGTTTCCATCCGTTGCTTCTTGTCCTGCCTTCTGGTGCTTTGGAGAATAGATTGATTGAACCCCCCTCTTCTTTGTGGCAGCCTCTCAAATATTGGAACACAAATTGGAACACAAATATTGGAATTGAAGTCCACGAGTCATAAAAGAGCCAAGGTTGCCTACCTCTGGGCTAGATAAACCCAATTCCTGCAACCGTTCTTTATATGTTTTAGCCTCCAGCCCCCTAATCATCTTCGCTGTTCTTTTCTGCACTTTTTCCATGCTGGCTGGGGGATTCTGGGAGTTTGAAGTCCACAAATCTTGAAGTGGGCAAGATTGGACACCCCTCATGTAGAGGAAAAGAGACTGTGTTTTTAATAATAATAATAATAATAATAATAATAAAGTTGGAAGGGACCTTGGAGGTCATCTAGTCCAACCCCCTGCTCAGGCAGGAAACCCTATACCATTTTGGACAAATGGCTGTCCAGTCTCTTCTTAAAAACTTCCAGTGTTGGAGCATTCACCGCTTCTGGAGGCAGGTTGTTCCACTGGTTAATTGTTCTAACTGTAAGGAAGTTTCTCCTTAGTTCTAGGTTGCTTCTCACCTTGATTAGTTTCCATCCATTGCTTCTTGTCCTGCCTTCAGGCGCCTTGGAGAATAGCTTGACTCCCTCTTCTTTGGGGCAGCCCCTGAGATATTGGAACAAACCGAATCCTCTTTCCTCGCCGCTCCGTTGACTCGAGTATTTCTCTGATGTCTGGAACCTCTGGATTGCAGCGAGTTGAATAAGGACCGCTCTGCTTCTTCTGTCGCGCGCTCAGGATTTTTCTTTTTCTGTGTCTCTTTTGTTTTCCCAGAGATGAACCATGACCATAGTTGACAAGACGGCCGAGTCCTCCAAGGCCTCTGCTTCTGAGAAGCAACCTTTCAACTCCGTGGCGCCAGCTTCCGGTGACATGGACTCGGGCTCGGCAGGATGGGTCGCTGTGTCTTCTTCGTTAGAGGCTCCAAAACACAAGAGCTCGATGGGGCCAGTGCCGGGAGCCGCGCTGTATTCCACTACATCGGGACCAGATAAATGCAAGCCTTCCGCCAAAGAGCTGGGTAAGTGATGAAACGTCGTTTGAAAACACAGGGAACCCCTTTTAAATGACGATGTGAGGCGTCCTTGGCGCTCTCTGAGCTTGGTTCTTTTCATTACTCAACTAGGTCACCTCATAAGTGCTAGAAGGGGGTAGGATATGTGGACTTCAACTCCCAGAATTCCTGAGCCAGCCATGCTGAGGGGAAAGGGAGAGGTTTCCAAGCTGAGCCAGGCCGGCTCAGGAATTCCGGGAGTTGAAGTCCACCAGTCACAAAAGAGCCAAGGTTCCCCACCCCTGGTCTAGTTCATCCAAGAAAAGGGGTGTGGGAGACCCACCCTGTGGGTTGACTTTTGAATTATGCCCCCCCCCCCCGATTCTTCTTCTTCTTCTTCTTCTTCTTCTTCTTCTTCTTCTTCTTCTTCTTCTTCTTCTTCTTCTTCTTCTTCTTCTTCTTCTTCTTCTTCTTCTTCTTCTTCTTCTTCTTCTTCTTCTTCTTCTTCCTCTTCCTCTTCCTCTTCCTCTTCCTCTTCCTCCTCCTCCTCCTCCTCCTCCTCCTTCTTCTTCTTCTCCGCTAATTATTTCCCGATCTCTAACTTCTGACAGTGATCGGTGACGGGATTGCGGCCCCCCAGAAAGTCCTTTTCCCAGCAGAGAAGATTTGCTTAAAATGGCAAAAGATGCATCGGGTCGGAGCTGGTCTCCAAAACCTGGGCAACACCTGTTTCCTAAACTCTGCTCTGCAGTGTCTGACATACACCCCTCCCCTGGCCAACTACATGCTCTCCTACGAACACTCCAAAACCTGTGAGTATATTTTAGGTTTTCTTTTTCTAATTGTTTAAAAAAGGAAAGCCTGTGCCGGAACGCACCTTCTGCAGAGGGTGGTTTCTTTGTCGGGGGGGGGGGAGTTGCGTCTGTTTTTCTCCCCAAACAGGTGGGCACAGCAAGGCCAGTGTGTCTATACAGGCAGTCCTCCAGTTACGACTCTAATGCAGCCCAGAATTAACGGTTGTAAGTTGTGCCGGTAGCTAAATAGGTCGCCCACCTGACCGCTCCTGATTTTACAACCCTTTCTGCAGCGGTCGTTAAGGAAATCGCTGCAGTTAGCGAACGCTGCCGTCGTTCAGCAAATCCATTGTCTACCAATGGGCAGAAACCAGAATTAAAGCTGATTTCCAGCAACAACAACACAACAAATATGAATTGTGATCACACAATCATGGGATGCTGCAAAGGTGGGCCAGTTGCCAAGTGCCCAAAATGCGATCACAGGATCGTGGAGGTGGTGGTGGGGACATCAGACCTTCAGATCGCTGGCTGAGGAATTATGGGAGTTGAAATCCACAAGTCATAAAAGAGCCAAGTTTGAAGACCCCTGTTTTAGATCCTATTTATTCCATCAGTCAGTGATCATTCCTATTGTGTTGTCTCTTATATGACCCCAGTCTCTTCTTCCCTCCCCTCCCTTCCCCCCCACCTTTGTTTCTTGTTTTAAATTGCCCGAAGTATTGTTGTTTGCCAAGTGTGCATGTTTCCTAACGGGATACATCTCTTTTTGTTTTCCCCTTTGCCTGCAGGTCACGAACAAGGATTTTGCATGATGTGCACCATGCAAGGTCACATCAACCAAGCTCTTTCCAATTCCGGCACCGTCATCAAGCCGATGTCTGTCATAAATGATCTTAGACGTAAGCGTCTCCCAGCGTTGGCATGCACGTTTTGATCTGCTTTGGCCACTAAAAATTCCAGGGACAGCTTTGTGCTACTGTGAATCTCTGTTCCTTAAATTTCCCTCTCCCTCAAAAAGATGATAATCGTTATTGTCACTTATTTCGGTGAATACATTGGCACACGTTAAAAAAAAATGAAACTCTATTGCCCGCTCTCAAAAGGAAATAGCTATATAACCATACACATACATGCACCCGCTATACATATGCTATAAATATACATACACACACACACAAACATATGCACACATATATGCTAATCCAGCAGTTCTCAACCTATGGGTCGCGACCCCATTTGGGGTCGATCGACCATTTCACGGGGGTCGCCAAGCAAGGCTGTCTGCCATTTTTTCCCCCTTTTCCGGCGGGTGCCTTACCTCCCTTGGGCTGGGCCAGCTGGTGATCGGCCTGCTCCATCTCTGCCGCTTGCCAGCTACGCCTCGGCCGGCGCAGGGGGCGGAACCACGCATGCGCGGCGGTCCCGGGCAGGGAAAGTCCTCGAATTACGACTGGTTGGGTAGTCCTCGACTTACGACCGGTTTAGTCCTTGACTTACGACCGGTTTAGTCCTCGACTTACGACCGGTTGGGGGTCGCGGCATTAAAAAGGTTGAGAACCACTGTGCTAATCACAATCCATTTTGAATACATAGCGGAAAAAAGAATCTTGAGAATCAACAAGGTTGCTACTCTATGGTACCAAGCTACTACAGAATATAGTTCTGCTTCAGATAGCACGAATTGCACTTTGCCTTTAATAGGTTATCCTGCACCTGGGTTTTTGTTTTATTTATTTGTTTATTATAAATTTATTTGCTGCCCATCTCAAGCACAAGGTGACTCTAGGCGGCTTAACTGTTAAAAACGAGCCAAACAATGCCACATTATGAATATAATGGGAGCAAAACACTATCAAAATGGGGTTGGTTCAGCCTCAGCGATCTGATCTGGACGTCAGTTTTTGTTTCCTGACGAAAACGATCACAAGACATACAACGAGGCATCTTCTCCTTTACTTACTAGGAATAGCAAAACATTTCCGTTTCGGTAACCAGGAAGATGCCCACGAATTCCTAAGATACACGGTTGATGCCATGCAGAAAGCATGTGTGAATGGTAGCAACAAGTAAGTGGCCATTCATATATATTTTTTTTCTTGATTGTTTTCATTCGGGGATAGGTGTTTTTAAAAGTTTCATCTTGATCTGCCTCTGTGTTTTTTAGATTGGACAGACACACCCAGGCCACCAGTTTTATTCACCAGATATTTGGAGGATACCTCAGATCTAGAGGTAAGTATATCTCACTATCTCCTCCGTTCTTTGAATATTTATTTGAAGTTCATTGAGAATTATTTAAAAGTTTGACTGAGAACATTCCATTTTATTTTATTTTTTTACTTTTATCGTATGTTAAACCTGCTCCTTTTTTTTTTTTTAAATTTCAGTAAAATGCATGAACTGCAAAGGTGTTTCAGATACATTTGATCCCTATTTGGATATTACATTGGAAATAAAGGTACATTTTCGGGTTTCTTTGCTGCTTTGTTTGTTTTTTGCAAATTCTTAAGTATACTTAGGGCAATGCATTTGTGAAGGGCATTATTTTGTAGATGTATTTATTTATTTGTGTCAGAAGCATCACGATTATAATAAGGCATGCGATGTAACGTAAAATTCAAAATATGAAATATAAGATTAAAATATGTACAAATTAAACAGATCTTGCCCAGAAACTAGCAAGATTAATTGAGTTCACTCACACTGGCATGAGCCCCTTAAGTGTACACTGATCAGGACACAAAGGGCGGATATACAAATGTGTTGTTGTCTGTGTGTCACCACAATTGCAAAGAACTTTGTCATTAGTTAAGGCATAGCTTACTATGGATCTTTATTCCTGAGGCTATTTTTTTCACAGTAGATCGCAAGAACAAATCTAGACATTCTTGTAAGCCCTACTGCAGGGGTCCCCAACCCCCCATCTGTGGACCAGTACTGGGCCGTGGCATGCCAGCAACCGGTCCGCACACACAAGCAAAGCCCCATCCACGAGATGCAGGCAGCACACAAAACCACACACCTTACGGTCCACGGAAAAACCTCTCTCCACGGAACCGGTCCCTGGTGCCCAAAAGGTTGGGGACCTCTGTCCTACTGGACTAGATCAAAACACCCATCTAATCTGAGCCCCGGCATCCTAGACAAGTGTTTCTCAACCTTGACAATTTTTAAAAATGTGGACTTCCAACTCCCAGAATTCCCCAGTCAGCATGTGTGTGTGTTTTTTTCTCCCTTCCAGTCAGCTCAAAGTGTCAACAAAGCTCTGGAGCAGTTTGTCAAGCCTGAACAGCTGGATGGAGAAAACGCGTATAAGTGCAGCAAGTAAGAATGAGAATTCATATGTTTTTATAATCCATTGACTGATTGCTCTCCTATGTCTGGCATGGTTATAGAACCTTGTATTTAATGCCAAAGTGGTTTTGCTATGCTATAGTTTATTTAGCAAGGGATGGTATGTAGCAACTATCAGTTTTGCCCTGGGTTTGCTCCTTAAATGCACGTTGACATCCTTCGAGGAGATTGAAAAGAGGGTGAGTCTTAAGAGTGGAAGGAAAAGAAGAATGATTTGATTTCTCTTTCATGTCTTTAAGAAAATCTAAATCTGTTTTCAGGCACTAATTACCAAATAGAAAGTAGTTGGGTGAACTTCTGGAAATGGTCAACGTGCGGGGTGGGGGGAAAAAAATCTTAAATCTCCTTTATGTTTTAGGTGTAAAAAAATGGTTCCTGCATCCAAGCGGTTTACGATACATCGGGCTTCCAATGTCCTCACCTTGTCCCTCAAACGGTTTGCAAATTTCAGCGGCGGCAAAATCACCAAGGTAAACGCGGCCCTATAGCAGTGTAAATAAAATACAGGTGGGCCTCAGCTTAACAGTTCATTTAGTGACCGTTTGAAGTTACAACGGCACTGAAGTGACTTACGAACGTTTTTCACACTGAACAACCACTGCACCATCTCCACGTTCATGCGGTCAAAATTTGGATGCTTGGCAGCTAGCTCACATTTACGACAATCGCAGTGTCCTGGAGTCACATAATTCCCCCCTTTTGCAACTCTTTGACAATCAGCGTCAAGGGGGATGCCAGACTCACTTAACAACTGGGTTACTTGCTTTAAAAATTGCAATGATTCATTTAACAAAGGTCATAAAATGGGGCAAAATTCACTTAACTGTCTCGCTTAGCAATATTTATTTATTTATTTATTTATTTATTTATTTTGATTTATATCCCGCCCTTCTCCCAACGGGACTCAGGGCGGCTCACAACATATTTAAAAACATAGACATATTTACAACCCCCACCAGATAAAACCAAATTAAACCAATATTTAAAGTTGTGCAGTTAAAATTATTCTTAAAAAACCCGATTAAAAAACCCGATTTAAAATCCTCCCTAGGCCAGGCCCGCTTGCTGAAAAAGCCATGTCTTGAGGGTGCGGCGGAAAGTAAGGAGATCCGGAATCATCCGGATCTCGGGGGGCAGTTCGTTCCAGAGGGTGGGGGCACCCACAGAGAAGGCCCTCCCCCTGGGGGTCGCCAGCCGACATTGCTTGGCCGACGGCACCCTGAGGAGACCCACTCTGTGGGAGCGTACCGGTCTATGGGAGGGAATCTGTGGCAGAAGGCGGTCTCGGAGATAGCCAGGTCCAATGCCATGGAGCGCTTTAAAGTTCTGGGCTCCGTTTTGATCATAAGCCGAGGACTACCTGCAAAGCACCCCGCCCAGCTGAGAATTAAACCAGATAAAGGATTGTATAAAAAAAAGGGGTTTGAGTTAAACAAACTAGTGCTTAGAAGAGGGGGCTGTGTGAGATGCTGGAGAGGGGGGTGTCCACTCATTTGTGGCATTTTCACAAACATAATTGTGTGAACTGATGTTCTTTGTAGAGATGAGCGTAAAAGTTTTAATATTTTTTATGAGGTTGCTTTTCTTTCTGTTTTAAATTGGATTCTGGGTGCAAACTCAGAAGTGCCTCTCTCTCTCTCCTCTGGATTAGGAAGTGAAATATCCTGAATATTTGGATATCCGGCCGTATATGTCCCAACCCAATGGAGAACCAATAATTTATGCACTTTATGCAGTGCTCGTCCATACCGGCTTCAGCTGTCACGCTGGGCATTATTACTGCTACATAAAGGTAAACATGTTTTTATCTTTCTCATCTTAACCGTTTTCAGACGTTCAAGAAGTTTTTTCAGAGCAGGTGACCATTTTATTATGATGAGTTACAATTTGAAACGGGCGAGGGCAACAGAACGCGGTCCAAATTGTTAACCTAATGAAGAATACTTGATTCCACTCATCCATAACTGTGAGGACATTGCTATGGGAAGGAGTAAACATAAAACCAGTGTAAAATGTAAAGACCCAGGTCTAGTTGTTTAAGGCAGTGTTTGTCAACCTTGCCTGCTGGCTGGGGAATCCACACCTCTTCAAGTTGCCAAGATTGAGAAACATAGCTTTTAAGATAATTCTTGCGCTCCAGAAATTGGCGCTTACTTTTAGACTTTACTAAATGCTTGCTCTAAAACCTAAGGCAGTGGTGGTGAACTTATGGCACGGATGCCAGAGGCGGCACTCAGAGCCCTCTCTGTGGGCACGCGTGCCGTCGCCCCAGTCCTAGGCCTTCAGCTGGGTTTTATAAAACCTTTTCGCTTTAGGCCTCCGCCGCCATGTGCAAAAAAAAAAAAAAAGGTTAAATCAGTCTATTTCAACTTCTCGTGGGGGGAAAAAAGTTGAAATTGATTGGTTGAACTTTTTAGTCCCACCCAGTCTGCCGTTACCACCGCAGCCACACCCACCCAATGGGCCACGCCCACCCAATGGGCCACGCCCACCCGGCACCCGACGATGCATAAGTGGGTTTTGGGTTGCAGTTTGGGCACTCGGTCTCTAAAAGGTTCGCCATCACTGACCTAAGGCTATACGAGTCTCTTTTTTTTCTGTAATCCTTTCCTTTCTGCTGCTGCTAAACAAAATTATTTCGTTGTTTAATAGTTATGTATTTCACTAAAATCCAGTAGAGGGCGCCGTTTATCCTCCCACCAGCTTTTTTTTAATTATTTTTTTAAAAAGCCTTTTATTTTTCTAATTAAAATTGAGCCGAACAACATAGCTGACTTTCCTGATTTTCTGTATTGTCATCCGGAGCATATATGGAAGCGTCTGAGAGGGTAATGCATCTTTACGAAGGCATGACTGTATTTTCTTGCAAAAACGATGGAGGGCTTTAAACCAGGCTGGGCCTCCTTGCAGATCCAACATTGACACTGACCAGCCATGTAGCATCTGTGACATGGAAGAATGTTTATCTATTTTGGCTGACCACCAGTTGCACCCCCTCCTAGAAGAGAAACATCTGGTGGGACATAGTTCTAAATGAAGCACGGGCTTGGTTTTCCATCCCCCCGTTTTATTTTTTAAAAAATGCCTCTTGGTATTTATCTCGGTAGGAGCCATCGGCATTCTTCAAACTAAAGAAGGCGCAAGGAGATTGGAATTGTTTATTTATTTTATTTAGCACATGGCATCAACAGAGGTCATGCATACAACACTAATGAGACACATTCTACATGCAAAAACAAATATGTTTAAATAAAGCATCACCAAGTACACACATACACACTAAGATATATACATACACACACACACATGTCTAGATGGATGGATGGATGGATAGATAGATAATAGATATACTTGATTGTTAGATTACAGAGAGATTAGGTAGGTAGGTAAGTAGATACATAGGTAACAAGAGAGAAAGATGATGGATGGATGGATGGATGGATGTAGGCGGATAATACAATAAACGAGATAAAATATTAAGGTAAAACCATGATAAAATCACCATGCTATGGCACCATAGAATCACATAGGATAGATGTTATAATTTGATATCTAAGGAAGCTAATCATCTAAAATGTGAGGTGGAGGTTGGGATATTGATTTGCCTCACGTTGGAGGATGGATTTACAGACAATAATTTTTTGCTCTAATTCATTTTTTATTTTTTTTTAGGCCAGTAACGGGCAGTGGTACCAGATGAACGATTCCACCGTTTCCAACAGTGACATCAGGACTGTATTAAACCAACAAGCCTATGTGCTGTTCTACATCAGGTAAGGCCAAGCGCTCAAAGGTAGATTTTTTTTCGATCCTTGGCACCGGGACCCGCCTTGCATTTTTTGCCCCATCTCTGGTGTGCCACAAATGGCAGAGTCACTCCCCTTTCCCAGTGACAAACAAGGATGCCCCCCTAAGAAAAAGAATCTTGCGGTGGTTTGCAAAAAGGGAAGTTAACATCGCGTGACTTTTTTTTATTTAGGACCCACGACTTGAAAAACGGTGCCGAACACATTCATTCGGTTCACACGCCGGGACAGTCTTCTCCCCGACCAGTTATCAATCAGCGGGTGCTCAGTAATAAACAGAGTACTCCAGGATTTATCGGACCTCAGCTCCCTCCACACATGGTGAAGGTAAGTCAAGAGGCATCCACCAAGCTGTTTAGAGCAGGGGTCCCCAACTCCTGGTCCGTGGACCAGTACTGGGCCGCGGCATGCCAGCAGCCGGCCCGCACAAACAAGCAAAGACCCATCCACAGGATGCAGGCAGCACACAAAACCACACACACCCTCCGGTCCGTGGAAAAACTTCCCTCCACGGAAACGGTCCCTGGTGCCCAAAAGGTTGAGGACCTCTGGTTTACAGAACCAGAGTTTAATTTGAGAAAGGAAGTTTCTTATAATCTTATGCCTGGGAATAGATCTCTTATTTTCTGTTTCTTTTTTTTTTCCTTCCTCCTTTTGTATAATTGCAGAATTCAAACCATTTGAATGGAACCGGATCCCTAAAGGAAACCCCCAGCAGCACGGTGGCCATTTCTACCAGCGCTTCCCTCGTCAAATCTCCTTCGGCCCCTTCCTTGTCCATCTCCAAGTGGACCATGAACCGGTCAGCCACGGCCGCCGGCCCCCCGGATTCCTCCAAGAAGCCAAAACTCACCCTCAGTATTCACAACAACAAACTGCCCGCTCGCCAAAGCGTCTCTCACACCAGCTGCACCGTCGAGACCCTCAGCAAGCCCGCCCCTTCCTCCACCATTTCCAACCCTTCCGCAGTGCAGTCTACCTCAAGCAGCTCCACCGTCTCCTCGGCCGCTAACCAAGTCTCCAAACCGAGCACCCCGGGCAAATCCGGTTCCAAGCTGATCATGAACGGCAAGGCCAAACACAGTCCCAGCATCCTGGTCCCTTACGGAGCGGAATCCTCCGAAGACTCGGAGGAGGAATCCAAAGGCCTGCTGAAGGAGAACGGCCACCTCCAAGTGCCCAACGGCATTTTATCGGAAAACACGGGCGGGCTGGAGAACTCCTGCTTGTCCTGCCATAAGCCGGAGAAGGAAAGCCCCCAGCCTGAGTTGCCCCAGAACGTCTCCGTGATGCTCTCCATCAGCCTAAACGAGGCCCCGAAGCAGAACGGGCAAATAAGCAACGATTCCACCTCCCAAGGGAAGCCGGCGAAGTTGGCAGACCGCCCCTTTCCCAAAACCAACGGCTTGCCCGGAAAAGTGAGTGGGTTTCTCGGAAGGCGGGTAGTCCTCAACTTAACGACCACAATTGAGCCCCATAATTTCAGTTGATGAGCGAGACACTCGTTAAGTGAGTTTTGCCCCATTTTAACAGCCTTTCTGGCCACAGTGGTTAAGTTGAAGCACTGCCGTTAAATTACTAACCCAGTCGCAAAAGGGGATCACGTCACACACACACACACACACACACACACAGAGGACACTGCAAACCGTCATAAATACGAGCCGGTTGCCAAGCGTCCGAATACTGATCACGTGACCCTGGGGGTGCTGCGACCGTCGTATGTGTGAAAAATGGCCACAGATCGCTTTTCCCAGTGTTTACAATTTTGGATGGCCACTAAACGGATGGTTGTAAGTTGAGGACTATCTGTATTCCTAGCTCTTCCTTCTTTGACTTTGGGAGAAGGTTTGGGGCTCCTGAATTGGAAAGGAAAAGCCAAAACTCAACGTTTAAATGCTGGCTTCCCACACAAAGGGTTTATCCCTTCCTTTTTCCAAGACAAACTAGAAAAGGCTACAAAACTAGGTGATGGTTGAACTGTTCTAGATCCGGAGGGAACTCCTGGCCCTGTTCTTCTTCCAGTTGAAGGTTACACTCTCCTTGGGAGCAAATCACACATGCAGGTTTTGCCAGCACACAGGAGTGGGGTCTTGGGTTTTGTACTAGAGTCTAGAGCAGGGGTAGGCCACCTTGGCTCTTTTATGACTCGTGGACTTCAACTCCCAGAATTCCTGAGCCCGCCATACTGAGGGGAAAGGAAGAGGTTTCCAAGCTGAGCCATGTTGGCTCAAGAATTCTGGGAGTTGAAGTCCACAAGTCGTAAAAGAGCCATGGTTGCCTACCCCTGATCTAGACCATTCAATCCGCTTGCTTGGTCCTCTCCTTGTGTTAACCTCCTCCATTCTGAATTTACAGGGTTCTCCAAAAGCTCTGTCCTCCGTCCCTGAAGAGGAAGTCTCCGATTCCCTCCGATACAAGCAGTCGAAAACCTTGCCCGGGGACTCCAGGTAGAGCAATCTTCTTTTATTCTAACTGTATTTTGAATTTTAAAAGGCAGATGACATATCTCAGCCTATTTCCTTTCTGTTTTTATTACATTTTCCCTGTTTCTCGCACTTAGGAACATGAATTTAGATTTCGTAAAAGCAAAATGGCTACGCTCCAGTTTAAAAAGCAAACTACGACCCATTTATTGGACCAAAGTTTACTGCTTTCACCATGATATGATTTACCTGATTTTGTTAAAAGGGAAAAGTTGGAGCTGCACCTTTGGAAGGCACGCTTTCTGCTTTTCAAAAGTAGACAGCGTGCATTTTCTAGACTAATGCCTCCTCTTGGCAGATTTTATAAACTCTTTTATTAAGTTGCTTATAATTCTTTAAATTGGAATGGCCGCCTTCATTGAGTTGAGACTTGCAAGTCACGGTCTTAACTCCTTCACCGTGTGTGTCCTGCTTCTTTGCTGGTAAATTCTTCCTGCCTAATCTCAGGAACTGAGGGAATCGGGGCTGAAGCAAGTAATTTGAGATAAGAAACAAGGCGGCATTTTAATCTGTTTGCCTTTGAAGACAAAGAATCTCCATGTCTTTGAGCCCTTTTGTGCTAAAAGATTTTGGACCAGATAGAATTGTATCTTGTGATAATGAAAAAAAAAAAACACAACAAGCTACTTTTGACAAGATAACCTTGTTAATGTGCCTCACGAAATCTATATTGTTGGTTGTCTAGAGGGCCTCGCCAGCTTCATTTTCAAAAAGTTCCCTAGAAGTTAAAAGCACTTTTAAGCAATGCTCAGGGTTGAAATCCAATGTCAGCTGCCACCTTATGCTTGCTTGCGTTTCGCCGCTATGCGGTGACAGACTGCCACGAACTGTGTGTGTGTGTGAGGGGAATGCTTGAGGAAATGAAAGTAAATGCTGTGTCTGCTCAAGATGCTGCCTCAAGGTCACCCAGCTGGAAGAAGGAGCTGCATACCAGACTATGCTTGGACCCACCGTTATGAAAACATCTTACCTGGACCTCAGTGGTTACACGGGGTGGGCAATGAGATACAGTTAAGGGAGGGAAAAGTAGAACTTTTAGGGATTTGGGCCCCTGAGTCTCTGTTCTGGCTTTGAATGACTGCAGTACACTTGAATTCTGATAAAACGATATCTTTCTCAACCGATGGAGCCAAGGATTGTTTCCGTTTAGAAGTTTTAAGTTGCGGCAGGCCTGACATCCATCTTGACCCGTCTTTCTCTTCCTGACCAGCAGTGCTCCTGAGCCAGAGAAATCAACGGCCGAGGATGCTTCTGAAAAGGCCCCCGATGCCCTTCCCAACAGTATCCCAAGCCCGGGAATACTTTTGGACCCCGACGTCACTTCAACCACGGAAGACCCTTGTGAAAGAATTGCCCAGACGGAAAACAGACCGCTGGAGAACGACCAGCAGCACAGTCCCCCAGCAAGAGAAGAAGCCCCCACCTGCCCTGGAGAAGGGGATGCTCAAGTCCTTCCTGAAAGGGCAGGTGTATCCAAAGAGGAGAAAGCAGCTTCAGAGACGAGTCCTGAGCCTGTTGAAGGACAGGCAGGGCCACCAGAAAAAGACACCCAGAGCCCCCAGATGAGGTTGGACGGTGAATCTAGGCCCCAAAAGCTAAAGACCCCCCTAAACGCGCCCGAGACAGGTCCTGAATTCCAGGGCAGCCCTCTGAGCAGTAAAGACGCCCCTTGTACCGAGAATTCCCCCCTTCCCCAACCCAAAATTGTTGCCGAGAACCAGTGTTCAAAGACGGAGAGCAAACCGGCAGACGGCAACGAGCCAGTCCGAAGAAGCCTCGAAAAGCCGGGCCCGAGATCCTCCCCGAAGGAGAAAGCCCACAGTTACAAAAAAACTGACCAAGAACATTATCGTCCTAAAAGGAAACGTTCCGAAAATGAGGAAGATGAAGAGGAGGAGGAGGCCGAGCCCGACGGGGCGGGTGGGAGGAGCCAGCCCGAAGGACACTGCAGCAAGCAGAGGTGCGCTTACAGTAGGGAGCGGGTGAAGCAGCAGGACCAGCCCCGACGGGAATACCACGGCACCAGCTACTACAGGTTCCCAGGCAGTCCCGATCCCGCCAGGAGTTTAGGGAAGTATCCTCCCTACCAATCCCGCAGCCGGGGCAAAACGGACTCTGAGCGGAGCAGGCCCAGTTACGGGAAAGGAGGAGAGAGGTCGTGGAGCAGGGAGAGGTACTACCAGGAGACGCCGAGGAGGTGGGACGCGTGCCGCTCGTACAGTTACTATTACTCGGCTTCCCACCTGCCCCGGCATAACCAGGAGAGGAAGCCGACGCATTCCGAGAGAGACTATAACAAGTCGAGTCATGTTTACAGTAGCCCCTACGATAAATACGATTATTACAAAAGCCGGTCGAACCACGACCAGGATAGGAAAAGGCCCGAGGCCAGCGACTGCACCCCCGAAAAGAAACACCCCAAACTCTTGTCGGAGAGTTCTCCCGACGAACAAAAGGGAAGGAAGCGGAAGAAGTCGAAGAAGAAGAAAAAGTTGAAAGACAAACACAAAGAGAAAGATGCCAGGTGAGCAGAGGAGGGTGGGAGCCTGGAGGTAACGGGGTGATCTCCTGCCCGGTTTCTGAAGTTGGTCACCGATGACCCCAGCCCTTCCTTTCTTTCCCCCCCTTCCACCCCCCCCACTCCATCCCCAAAGGTGGCTGAAAGATTTCAGGATCTTGATTTCTTTTAAAATTATTTTTCATTGCCTTTGGAAAGCCTGGCTGACGCCCTGTGACCTACTACCTCTGAATTCATACCTTATTTTTCATCAGAATCCTCCAGGAAGTGGGCACAGTTGGTCCTCAGCCTACTATTCATTTAGTGACCGTTCAAAGTTACGACAGCACTGGAAAAAGGGACTTGCGGCCGTTTTTCACACTTACGGCTTGTAGCCTCCCCAGGGTCACGTGCCCAGAATTCGGACGCTTGGCAGCCGGCTCGTACTTATGACGGTCGCAGAGTCCCCGGTTTATGTGATCCCCTTTTGCGACCTTCTGACAAACGAAGTCCACGGGGATTCACTTAACAACCGGGTTACTCACTTAACAGCTCCAGGAGTTCACTTAAGAACTGTGACAAGAAGGGTGGTAAAATGGGGCAAAACTGGCTTAGCAATTAAAAATTTGGGGCTCCATTGTGGTCCCAAGTTGAGGACGACCTGTATTTATTTCTCCGCTTGTCCATCCCATTTCATACGGCCGCCCGTTCTCCCGAAAACATGCCCCCGGGCGGCCTGCAACAGACGATCGCTTCACGAGCTGGGTGTGAGCTGGTGTGACGATGCCAGAGTTAGGGTTGAAATGTATGGATTCACCCAGGGCAGCCTGTAAGCCTATTCCTTTCTTTTAGCCCCAGTTCCTTGTCTGCGAAATGGGTAGCAGAGCAGTCTTCGCCCCCTTCATTATGGGGTGGTAGAGTGAATGACCCAGTGAATGAATCAAAGCCACAGGAAACCGCTCTTCAGTCAAGCCACAAGGACAGACGGTAAGTCCTTCTCCTATAGTAATATTCTCTCTAGGCCAGAAGTCCCCAACCCCCGGGCCATGGACCGGCACCGGGCCGTGGCATGCCAGCAACCGGGCCGCACAAACAAGCAAAGCCCCATCTATGGGTTGCAGGCAGCACACAAAACCACGCATCCTCCGGTCCGCGGAAAAACCTCTCTCCAAGTCACCGGTCCCTGGTGCCCCCAAGGTTGGGGGCCTCTGCTCTAGGCAAGCCCGGGTTTCAATTGACTTAAATTTGTCCCAGCCCCTCAACTCCAGTGGACACTTCGAAGCAGGAGGAATCTCTTTCAGTACATGAATGTTCATGCAGATAGTCCTCAACCATTGTTTGTTTAGGGACAATTCAAAGTTAGCAGCGGCACTGGAAAAAAGGGACTTTGGAGCGTTTTTCCACCTTTAATAACCGCTGTCGCATCCCCGCAATCGCGTGATCGAAATTCAGACGCTTGGCAACCGACTCACCTTTATGACGGTTGCAGTGTCCCAGGGGAACTCACGTGATCCCCGTTTGTGACTTTCTGACAAGCAAAGTCAGCCGGGAGGGAGGGGGGAGAGCCCAGATTGACTTAACCGCCCTGTGACTAATTTAACAACTGCCGTGATTTACTTAACGCCCGTGGCAAGAAATGGGGCAAAACTCACTTAGCAACTGTCTTGGAAATTTTAGGCCCAGTTGCAGCCGTAAGTGGAGGACCACCTGTATATGGGTGCGTGGCCTGAGGGGAGGGGGGAATTAAAAAAAGGAAATATTAAGCTCCTTAAAGGGGAAGTGACTGCTTGGATCAAGATGTCTGGAATGGTATAGGACAGAGGTAGGCAACCTTGGCTCTTTTATGACTCGTGGACTTCAACTCCCAGAATTCCTGAGCCAGCCACGCTGAGGGGAAAGGCAGAGGTTTCCAAGCTGAGCCATGCTGGCTTGGGAATTCTGGGAGTTGAAGTCCACGAGTCATGAAGGGGCCATAGTTCCCCCATGCTGGTTCAGGGATTCTGGGAGTTGAAGTCCACGAGTCAGAAAGGGGCCTAGGTGTAGGCCAGAGATAGGCAACCTTGGCTCTTTTAAGACTCGTGGACTTCAACTCCCAGAATTCCTGAGCCAGCCATGCTGAGGGGAAAGGGAGAGTTTCCAAGCTGAGCCGTGCTGGCTCAGGAATTCTGGGAGTTGAAGTCCACCAGTCATAAAAGAGCCAAGGTTGCCTACCCCTGGTCTAGGATTTCCTTCCTGAGCAGCGGGCTGGACTAGAAGACCTCCAAGGTCCCTCCCAACTCTTGTTCTTCTCTGTTGTGTGAAACGGCAGCCTCGCTTCCCTCCCCCCTCCCCTGACTTTCCGGGATTTGCTCTCCACCAGGCATCGCCAAGATTCCGACCCGTCTCCCTCCAACTCCGAGGCCGAGACCCACAAACACAAACACAAGAAAAAGAAGAAGAAGAAAAAGAAGAAGCACGCGAGGAAATCGGAAGACTGCGACCAAGGCCCTGCCCCTCCTTCCCTCCCCAAGCCGGCCGCCCTGCAAATCAAGAATCTCAAAAGCTGGGAGACGACGCCCAAACCGCCTTTGGAGGCTTGTCGGAAACACGGCGCGACGACGTCTTGCAAAGAAACTCCGGCCGTTTGGCGGAAATCAAAAGCCCTGGAGAGGAGCAACAGGGACGGCGGCTTCAATCCACTGAGAGATCAGAACAGTGGTAAGTAAGGGAAGAGGTGGATCCCTAGGGAGATCTTCCTTGGACGCTCAGGGAATCCTAAGAGTTGAAAAAGGCCAGCGTGGATCCTCCAGTCTTTCTCAAGCTTGGCAACTTTTAAGATGGGTGGACTTAAAGAATTACACATCCTGGCTTGTCACTTTCGGCACCCAGCTGAAGAGTGACAGAACTGGTGACAGCCGACGTAAAAAAATCCCTCAAGCGTTTGAGAAATGGCTGGTTCGATGGTGGTGTTGCCGCCCTGCCAGGGGAGGGGAGTTTATAAGTAGTCCTCGACTTACAACAGTTCACTTAGAGACCCTTCAAAGTTACAACAGCACTGATAAAAGGGACTTAGGACCGTTTTTTTTGACACCGCCTTTGCAGCGTCCCCGTGGTCGCGTGATCAAAATTGGGCCTCTTGGCAACTGGCTTGTACTTGTGACGGTTGCAGTGATGGCCTTTTTTGCGGCCTTCTGACAAACAAAAGTCCATGGGGAAGCCAGATTCACTTTACAAGCGTGTCCCTAACTTAACCACTGCAGGGATTCACTTAGCAAGGAAGGTTGTAAAATGGAACCCCGTGATGTTCAGGCCTCCTTAATGTTGTAAGTCGAGGGCTATCTGTATTTGCCACGTGCCAGGGAAACTAAAAAGTATCGGGCTATTAAAACCCTCCTCTATGCCTCAGTTTCCCCAAATGATATTGTCATCTTTGCCTTTCAGATCCGGAATGTCCGTTGGAAGTCCAGCTTATAGTGTATTTATAAACCGAAAAAAGGGGGGGAGGGGAAAACTACAACCCTACAAACTCTTTAATTCATAATTGGTGCTTCAGAAAATACTGTACAGGATTTTATCATTGAAGAAAACCCCACTTTTTTTTCTTTTTTGGTTTTTACCTCGAGTCTTTCTTCTTTTTTAAAAAAAAACAAATAAACAAACAAGCAAAATTCTCCTTGATCCCCAAACCCAAGAGGATGATGGACACGTTTCTACAGCTGCTGGACGTTGCAAAATCTTCCTACCCCCGTCCGTGTCACCGTGAGGAACAATGCCCTGGATCCAAACATCTCAAAAATGCTGCTTCGTTCCACCACTCAGGTTGAATGTGTTTTATGTCCACGTGATGTTTGCTCCCAAGCCGACCTAGTTCGCCACGCGGGGTGAGGAACCGCAACCGAATTTAAGCAAGCTGCAACTGAATAAGTGTCTATTTAATTTAATTATTTAAAACATTTCACACGCAACTCGGGTGTTTGCGAGAGAGAGAGAAAGAGACAGCGCGCGCCTCGGTTTCCTTCGTCAGGTGTCTGCTACTAGAAACTCAACGTCATTTCCCTCCGTTGGATCCCCGTCTTTGGACTTTGTGAAAAGTGCGTGCCGTTCAGACGCTTGGGCCGGTTTTTGAATGTACCCCCCGGGGACACGTCTGAAGACCGCTCGCCGTCGCCGTCGCCTGTCCTTTGGCTGAACCTGAATTTCCGAGATCCGACTGGCAATTGCAGAGGGTTTGATCAACCCGTGCGTTGTGGGAAAAGGCTGCTGCGTCCGTTTCCCCCACTCGAGTGTCTCCTTCCGTGGGTGTTTCTTCACCCAACCTTTGCAGGATGCCTTTTGCAACCGTCGCCTGCGACGTCCTTTTGTAGGCCTCTCAGCAACTCCTATTGTAGTGCTGGCCCACCTTCCTTTTCCGCTTTTCTCCCCGTCTTTTGCCACTTGGTTCTTGGGCATCTCGTCCCTGTTCCGCAGAGTTACTTTATTGCACAGGTTGGACTTCTAGCCTGCACCAGGAGTAAGCGAGGAGAACAGGTGCCGGGATCTCTAGTATCCCCTTGGAGGAGCCGTTTTCTTCATTTCTTTTTTTTTTAATCCACTAAGTTTTTATTGCGTTCATTTTTAATGTAGTGATATATACGTCCTGACCGATCTCAGCCACCTGGTTTTTCTTCTTTCCTTCCCGAGGTTCTAGTTAACAGACAACGTTCATACTGTGATTTTATTTTATTTTTTTTTAATTTGTATTATTTTTTTAATGATGAAATGCTATCAAAACTGTGATACACTTAATTCACTGGTCCTGCATCAGGAGACAGAGTGGGGAAAACTGTATTAAATACAGTTCATCTGAATAATCTGTCTGATTTATTCAAGCCGCGTTTGTTCAGAGATGTCTCAAGTTTGATCTTTGTTTTTTTAAAGATAAAAAAAGCACTTGCCCCACTTGTAAATATGTGGCATGTAAAATTTATATAGTATATAAATCCGAGAAATCAAATCAAACAGGCTTCTGTGGTTAGTTCAGTTACATCCGGACTGTAACAGGTGAGTAGAGTTGAGCCTAGAATTTATGTTACTAAGTGAGTTCCCCATTGACTTTCCTTGTTGGGTGGTCGCGAAAGGAGATCACATAACCCCTGGGACACGGCAACCGTCATAAATAAGAACTAGTTGCCAAGCATCCAAATGTAAATTGTGTGACCCTGGGGATTCTACGACGGTCATAAGTGTGAAAAATGGCCATTAGTCCCTTTTTTCAGTGCCCTTGTAACTTCAAAAGGACACTAAACTGTTGTAAGTCAGGGTCCTAGCTTGACACAAATCGTTGGACGTTGACACGTGTGTAACCAGCTTTTGGTTGGGTTATGCTAGGGAAAAAAATCTGTTACTTTCCCTTTATTTGTATTGTAGGATTTAAGCAGAAACACTACAGGTAATCTACGACGGGGTCTGCAACCTTGACAACTTTAAGACTTGTGGACTTCATAGCTGGCTGAGGAATTCTGGGAGCTGAAGGCCACAAGTCTTAAAAGTTTTCAAGGTTGCAGAGCCCTGATCTAAGTTACGATCACAATCGCAGCCAGAATTTTGGTGGTTCAATGAATTAAGCCCAATTTTACAAATTTGGTGAATTTAAGTGTCTGTATGCGAAGCAAACGTGGCTTTCCACATTGAGAAGTTGCAGTTGACAATCACACCATCCTAGGACGCTGCAACCTTCATAACTTGCTGGTTGCCAATTGCCCCAAATTTAACCCTGTGACCAGGGACGCCACAACGGCTATAAAATGCGTTGTCACAAGTGTCTTTTTTTTCAATGTCCTTCTAACTTCGAATGGCCACTAAATGAATCAAGGATGTGGACGCAAATTCTGTCCATCTTCCCCAAATTCATTTTTATGTCGAGGCCTCAGCCACGGATCCCTTGCCTAAATGGATTTAAAACAAAAAACAGTCATCAGAGATTGCCACAGATGGATACGGAATTATATTGCGCACTTTATTGATAACCAGGCACTCGATCAATACACAGATGTACACTATATACAAGCTACTTTACATTGAGTGGTTAAGAAATATTGTACAAGAAAATAGAACTGGGGGGAGTTACAGACTTATTTGCAATACCTGGCTTGAGAAAAAGGGCCTGAACAGATGGAAAGCTGGTTCTCTCATTAATGTTTTAAAAAAAACCACACAATTTGTGTCGTGAATGGTATGAGGGCATGATTTGTTGACAAAGCATAACAGGCTATGATTACATCCTAAGCACATTAAGCCAAAACGTCAGCTAGCTTAGAACAGCGTTTCTCAACTCGAGCAACTATTAAGACGTGTGGATATCAATTCCCAGAATTCCCTAGCCAGCAGGGCTGGCTGGGGAATTCTGGGAATTGAAGTCCACACCTCTTAAAAGTCACCATTGGCTCAGCATAATGGTCTCAGGTATATCCCTCTCAATCACAACCTCATTTTCAGAGGGCCACTAAATCTAGCAGAATTATGCCCCGGAGAAAGGCCCTCAATTCATGAACCATGGCTTGTTGGGAGCCAGCATTAAACATTCATCTGTCTGTGGAGCCTTTTTTTCCAGCAAGCATCCCTAGAAAGCTAGGTCCTCAAAAATATAAGGCTTCTTTCCCCCCCCCCTCAAAAGTAGGAAGTCTTCCAAATGTTCCAAACTTTAAAAAGTATTTTTTTTAGTACCACACACGGCCACCCACCCCATAATCTTCAAATGAGCTTCCCAACCCAAACTCCCTGCTATGTTTCGCACCTATCAGGCCAGCTGAAGCTAAAGTGCTATTCAATTCTCCAAAAAAAAACCTTGAAGACTCAAAAACCCCGCAAACCTCTAAAGTTCCCGGGGACGCAAGGCAACCGAGGCAGAACACGTAACTGTCTGGACAAGCACTAGATGGCAGCAGAGACCCAGTCAGCGGCAATGGTCATTCCACGTTTTGTAGGCCACAAAGAGGACACCAGGAGAAATGCATTTCGCTTAACTTCTTGATGATGGGGTGAAGATGTAACCAGGAATAATAATGTCTTTAAATCGGTGTTTCTATCTAAACACTGGGCAACATTTCAGAAGCGTGGATTTCAACTCCCAGAATCCCCCAGCTAGCACCTAACCAATTCTCAAGAATTCTCCATGCAGGTTGAAGCATTCTGGGAATTGAAGTCCACCCCTAAGTTGCCCAGGTTGAGAAACATGGATTTAAAGTAATGCTTTGTCCCCGTTCCCACCCAAAAAAAAATATCTGGGACAATCAATAAAAGCACTCCATCTCAATCCTTCCAGCAATCTTTGGAGATCTGCTTTATTCCCTACACAAAATCTGCAAAAGGTGGGGCTGGCCTCATAGGGTCTAGAAGCTTACCTCAAAAGTAATAAAAATAAAAAGCAGAGATTCTTAGACAAGTTCTTAGAATATGACAGGGATTTGGGGAAGCACCAGAAAAGATGGTTCATCCTGGGCGTGCAATGTGTGCGTACACTTAACGCAATCCATTCTCGACACACACACCCCAATTGCACAGATGCATTTTACTGATCCATCTCTGCAGCTGTATCTGACATTATTAGCTGATATCCAAGGGTATACAGTCTCTGCAATTGGTATGAGAAAAACAAGTTTTAACAGAATAACAAGAGTTGGAAGGGACCTTGGAGGTCTTCTAGTCCAACCCCCTGCTCAGGCAGAAAAGCCCTATACCATTTCAGATAAATGGTTGTCCAATCTCTTCTTAAAAACCTCCAACGTTGGCGTACCCACAACTTCTGGAGGCAAGTTGTTCCATTGATCAATTGTTCTAAATGTCAGGAAATTTCTCCTTAGTTCCAGGTTGCTTCACTCCTTGATTAGTTTCCATCCGTTGCTGCTTGTCCTGCCTTCAGGGGCTTTGGAAAATAGCTTGACTCCCTCTTCTTTGGGGCAGCCCCTGAGATATTGGAGGACTGCTATTATGTCTCTCCTAATTCTTATTTTCACTAGACTAGACATACCCAATTCCTGCAGCCGTTCTTCATATGTTTTAGTCTCCAATCCCCTAAACATCTTTGTTGCTCTTTTCTGCACCTTTTCTAGAATTCTTTGGAACTCACCCTCGTTGCAAAACACAAAGAAAGATGAAAGAGGAGATTTTGGTATCGTCATAAGGATAGTACCTTGAGGAGTCAAAAACGTTCAGAGGCCTTTCCTAGTCTAAACTAAAATTAAATTACTAAATTAAGCTAAACCTAAGCCTTTTCTAATTTCGTTACTGGCCTTGTGACCATTGAAAAGTTTTGCCCCAGATTGGATCCCTACTCTGGATGCCATCAGGTGGGCGACCGCCAACACAATTATTTTGACCTTTTACTGTTGTTATCAGCCACGGATGGCACTCCTGAGAAAATATTGTTAAATACAAACATTTATAAACCATCCATATGCCCAGCAATACGACTGTTGTCTCGTTCACTAGAAAGTTTACATGTTTTTCGTTATGGCCAACAGAGGATTTCCAATCAGTTGGATTTTAAAAAATGGCAAAACTCCTCAGTTTTATGTCTTTCAAACAGAGGGCTAGCTAGAGAGACCTAACTATTTGAGATCGAAGCCCTCAGAACTCCAGATAGTCTGATCAAAACAGATCGACCATTTTTCACTTGTTGGCTTTATGCTCCTCAGAGGTGGATTCAGAACATCTACGCTTTCTTCAGCACCACAACGCACGTTCTCCCTCTCTATACAGACAAGTGCAAAAGGGGTACAACTTCCACAGTGTGATGCCCAGGGTGTCATTTTCTCCCTCTCCTGCCAGCAAATAGCTATCTCTTTTTTTTTAAAGCAGGGACCGCAGATCCCGTCAATCCCGTTTTCTGGAAGCGGAACGAGAACTTCTTGGAAAAGACAATATGGAGGATCGCACTAAAACAAACAAACAAACTGGAGAAATACCAGTTGGGGGGAAGAAAAGCAACTTCCTGGAGAGCTTTTTCAAGCAGGACCATCCTGTGGAGGAGAGGGAGATGTGATCACACACCGGGTGTCACATCGGTGTTATGCACAACAGTCTGGACGTAAGCTAGGGACAAGACTCTTAAACGACACAGAGGAAGCAATCTCCCTCTATCAGGAAAGACATCACATCAACAAGTCACAATCCCCAACAACGTCTGTCCCCCACCCCAGAAGTAAAGAGGAACGGGAGACGTCCAGCTCAGTTGTGGTTCCACCACACTCCCAAAGGGACAGCAGAGACACAAGCTTGCTGGGATGAGACAAATTTCCTTTGCCCTGGGCATGGGATGGGGAAAGTCCTTCCTTGGAGTTACTTCTTATTAGCAATCCGCCTTTTCCGAGTTGCCAGCATGTCGTAAAAAGGGTCCTTGCTGATGCTTGCCCTAAAACAAAAGAAAATAATAATAATAATCAGGCTAGGTTTGCACACTGCCCTGACGCCTAACATCAGTGGTTTTCAACCTCGGCAGTTTTAAAATGTCCGGACTGGGGAATTCTGGGAGTTGAAGTCCACCAGAGTTGAAAAAAACTGCCTGGACCACGACAAACGACGGACAAGCCTTTTCTTCCTGTAGGCACCTTGGGCAATTGTTTCCCACCTGGTTTCTCAACACTAGGTAGCTTTGGCTAAAAATACACTCCCTTCCCGATGTCTCGGCTGGAAAGGTAAGTCGAGGGTTACCTGCAGATAGTCCTCAAGTTACAACAGTTCATTTAGCGACCGAAGTTACAATGGCACTGAAAAATGTGACTTTTTCACACTGAACGACCACTGAAGCATTCCCCTTGGTCATGTCATCAGAATCCGGACACTTGGTAACCAGTTCATATTTATGATGGTTGCCGTGTCCCGGATTCAACTGTGGTCGTACGTTGAGGACTACCTTGTATGGTGAGCAAGTCCACAGGATACGCAAAGCCCAAATTAAGCAAGCCATCTTTACAGCTGGGCTCTCCCTACAGCTGGCCTTGCGCTACTCATCTTTCCATGAATAAAGTCCTCACTTGATGGATTTAATCCATTCTTCTTTTTCTTCAGGCGTGGGAGCAGATATCCTGTAGACCACGTGGTTGCCTTCAACCACCCGGCCGTCCGCTTCTGTCTTGCAGGCTTTGATCACCTGTCCTTTGTAGCTGGGGTTGTACAGCTCAAAGCAATTCTAGGGAGCAAAAAACAGACCAACATTGACAGTTTAATTTCTGTTTGGCACAGAGTTGCTCTGCTGCAGAAGCCAACATTCAACCAGAGCTTCCTTCGACCGTTGTTGATATATTTTACCTTCATATATGTCATTCTGTTTTATGTAAGTCAGTATCATTTCTCCAACCTACGTTTCCCTTGCAATAATAGCTGGTTTACAATTCAAATCAACTGTCCCTAAGATAGCAAACAAGACTAAATAATGACCTGATCATCAATAATAGACAAAAACTGGGAAGACACAGAAATCAATATAATGGTTACTCTTGCATAAGAAGTGATTATAATGTTTTCAGATCCGAAGTTCTTAATTTTTCTTTTAAAGTTAAAGAGCAGGGTTGGGAATAGCTCAAGGGAGTCGAGATGGTGCCTCAACCATACAACTGAAGCTCTACTAGTCTATAAATGAATAAATAGATAGATAGATAGATAGATAGATAGATAGATAGATAGATAGATAGATAGATAGATAGATAGATAGATAGATAGATAGATAGATAGATAGATAGATAGATAGATAGATAGATAATACAGATAGATGATAGACAGATAGATAATAGATAGATGAGAGATGAGAGAGAGATAATACAGACAGATAGATGATAGACATTCAGATAGATAATAGACAGATAGATAGATGATAGACAGATATGAAGAGAGAGAGAGAGAGAGAGAGAGAGAGAGAGAGAGAGAGAGAGAGAGAGGTGATTGAGGTTCCTTGCTTGAAAAAAGATCAAGGCCTCATCCACGTGGTCGTGACCACCATCTTGACTGGTCCGAATACCATCCCTTCAAATAGGTCCCACCCAATTGTGTATCAGCCATTTTCCATTTTATTTTAGCAGATGTTCACCATGCTAGGCAGCTGAGATGCATCTCCAGGACAAGAGTTTACCACTAAGTTGAAGGTTCAGAAACCAGCAGGTACGTCCGTTAAGAGCTGCTCGTTAAGGATGAGGGACTGATTTAAAGGGAATCAGGAAAGATCGCTGGGAGAAAAAGATATTTTGAAGAAGACAGGGGAAGGAGGGAGAACTTACTGGTTTTCTTGGATCCTCAACTTCTTTGATGCTGAGGTTTTCCAGTGGGATGATTCCTCTGGGTTCTTTGTCCTAGGAAAAAAAGACTAACCAATCAACGAGCTGAAATAGCTTGGATGTAGAAGGAGTGACGTTATTGTTGACACACCATACTCACTGTTGTGTATTCGAAATAATAGAGGCAGTTATCAGTCAGTATAAACCACCTTCTTTTCCACGTTTTCACGCGTCCGCCTGAAAAACACAAGACACAAGATTCTCAGTTAGACTTAGGCTTTTGCCCTAAGCTATCATGAATGGGACAAAATAACCTGGTTACCTTGTTACTTCATTAAATGATTAGCCGTGTCAAAAATCAGACAGTGGAGGGGAAAATGGATATAGAAGTAGGGTTAAAATGAACAAAGAGTTACTGAAGCTCCCTTTAACCAGAAAGGGGAATTGGATTGATTTGCTCAGCTAAGCCAGGGTTTATTTGACTATGAATTGACACTCAAGCCACAATCAGCTGAGTTCAGACACAATACTAATCCATGGTTTGCCTACCCATCATTAACCGAGCTGCCTCTGGCTGGGTTCCCACATCACACACTAAGCAAAATTCAAGTGACCTGCCTTCTAAATTAACACGATGGGAAAGTTCAATCAATGTTATGAAATACAAATTGGCTCTTTCTATGAATGGAATGTTGAAATCTGAATGGAAATTCATTGAGACTTTGGACCAAACAGTAATGGTGGAGTCCTTGAGTTGGTAGTTTGCTTTTGTAAACATTCATTACCCAGCTAGGTAGCATCATCAGTGTTGGAAGGAAGTGAGTGGAGAGGAGGAGGAGGAGGAGGAGGAGGAGGAGGAGGACTGTGGGGTCCTCGGTGCTCTCTGAGCTTGTTTGTTTGCTTGTAGACGTTTCATTACCCAACTACGTAACCTCATCTTTATTTATTTATTTATTTATTTTTCCAACTTCTATGCCGCCCTTCTCCCCACGGGACTCAGGGCGGCTCACAGCATGTTAAAAAACAACACAAAAAACATTTCCCCTATAAAACCAATTAAAACCAAATACCGGTATATTTATGGCTGTGTCATTATTAAAATCTTTAAAAATTATTCCCTATTTAAAATTCACCCTAGGTCAGTCCCGCTTGTTGAAAAAGCCATGTCTTGAGGGCGCGGCGGAAGGTTAGGAGATCCGGAATCGTCCGGATCTCGGGGGGTAGTTCGTTCCAGAGGGTGGGGGCACCCACAGAGAAGGCCCTCCCCCTGGGNGAGGAGGAGGAGGAGGAGGAGGAGGAGGAGGAGGAGGAAAAGGAGGACTGTGGGGTCCTCGGTGCTCTCTGATCTTGTTTGTTTGCTTGTAGATGTTTCATTACCCAACTACGTAACCTCATCAATGCACTAACTCTCAACCCAACCTATGTTGCAGATCTATTGTGGGGATAAAATGAAGGTGAGCATTTTATGGACACCGTCTTCCATTCCTGCTAGAATTGGAAGGACAAAGGGAAGAGAAAGGATGTTTTAGGAATAAGCCAACATGCCTACCAACGTTCAATTTCCTACCACCGACAGACCATGTTGCATAATCCTAGCAGGGGGAACAGCCTTTTCCTGGTTGGTGGGTGGCAGATGGGTGGGTGGTTGAGGGCACCAGGCAAGCAATTCCAGAAAGAAAACCCTCAAGATGATGATGAATCAGGGACAGAACATGTGCACTCTTAGGAGCCACCCAAAACTTGATTTAATTGCACCAACTGGATCCAACTCCTACTCAAAATCGGTGGCAAAGACAGCAAGCTTGAAGTAGGTCCAAAAGCTGGTGGCATTTGCCAACGAGAACGAAGGAACAACCAGGAAGGATAAACTCTCTTCATTTGGAACCCAGGTCTGTCTAGATCTTTTGAGAGCCAAAGTCTTCCTTCACAGACATTGCCAAAATCCACTTTGTTCTTTCTCAAATGTTTCCTTCTGCAAAAGCGTGCCGTGTTCTTCTACCTCAGTGGTTCTCAACCTGTGGGTCGGGACCCCATTTGGGGTCGATCGACCATTTCATGGGGGTCGCCAAGCAAGGCTGTCCGCCATTTTTTTGTCCGCCATTTTTTTCCCCTTTTTCCGGCGGGTGCCTTACCTCCCTTGGGCTGGGCCAGCTGGTGGTCGGCCTGCTCTGTCTCTGCCGCTTGCCAGCTACGCCTCGGCCGGCGCAGGGGGCGGAACCACGCATGCGGGCGCTCCCGGGCAGGAAAAGTCCTCGACTTACGACTAGTTGGGTAGTCCTCGACTTATGACCGGTTTAGTCCTCGACTTACGACCGGTTTAGTCCTCGACTTACGACCGGTTTAGTCCTCGACTTACAACTGGTTGGGGTCGCGGCATTAAAAAGGTTGAGAACCACTGTTCTACCTTTTTCTCGGTGTGCTTTAGAGTTCCTTTCTCTACGTTGCATTTTTGCACTAAAGGATGATTGAACGCCCCAAAGATGAAAATGCTGGGGTAAGCAAAGAAGGCATTAAAAAGGAGACAGTCTACCCCTCTCTTGGCCGGGACCAGGCACACGAGCGGCAAAATTGTTCCTTTTCAGCAGGAACATCAGAGAACGCATTCCAAAATGGGACGTTTTTATTTCCTGAGCCGAAGAGGAAGTAATTAAAACCAGACCTTGGCTGTTTACAAGAAAAGGTTTAGTCTCAGACAGCGGAGCTGCTGAGCTGGGGCCAACAGACACTGTAATTTGGAATTTTTAAAATCAGTCTTGTCCAGAGAAACCCCCTCTCTGGGATCTATTGCTTGCAAGGGATTTCATTGCCTCTTCCGCCCCTTCAATTGGCTCTCCATTAATCATTATGCAACTATCCGTCTCCAAATTTGCCCAAAATAAACGTGGGCGTTACCGATTTCTTTTTTTTTCTTTTTCCTGGTTGAAGAAGAAACAGAATTCTCAACACTATCCCAAAAACTATTTATTTTGGGGTAGAGAGGAGAATAGAAAAAAACGCAGCCAAAGCAGAAGAAAGGAAAACATCCTGGACACTTTGAAAGAAGTAAGATGTTTTTTCCGTGCTGCCCAAGTGACAGAGAGTCCTCGAATTACAATCGGTCATTTAGGGACAGTTAAAACGGCGCTGGAAAAAAATGATTTATGACTGGTCCTCGTACATACGACCGTCACAGCATCCCTAAAGTCACATGATCAAAATTACCGTGGTTGCAACATCCCGGGGTCATGGGATCACCATTGGTGATCTTCTCAGTTAGCTTCCAACAAGAAAAGTCAATGGGAAAAGTTCGTTTCCCTTAATGACCACATCATTCACTTAACAACTTAGCAACCATGGCAAAAAAAGGTTATTAAACCAGGCATGGCTAAGCCACTGCCTCGCTTAGCAATGGAAATCCTGGTCCCAATTGTCAAAATTCGAGGACTTCCTCTATATAAAAACCGTGCAACGTAAACTTTGCACGCTTTACCCCGTCGTAAAATATTCAGACAAATGGTGCAGGGTTTTGGAAGGGGGGGAAAAAATAAAAAAAATCTCTTTACCGGTATCGCCTTTCAAATCTATTCTCCGTGGATGCAACTAGCATCTTTTAGAGGAAGATTTGGATTCAAACATTTGCTAGGGCTTATGTAGGGAAAAAAGGGCAGGAATGGCTTTTTCTCAATCCTAACCCATGGGGAAATCGCTGGGGCAACACACACACACACACACACACACACACACACACACACCCTTTTGCAATCCGTGAGAAGGCAGATTTGCCAAAGAACGAAACAAACCTCAAGATTCCTGGCAAAGGTTTTTGGCAATCCGTTCACGTGGAGGAGGAGAAGGAAAACCATCTGCAATTCATTACATCGTTTCCCATCCTCCTTAGCTTTGAAAAAGGGCAGCAGACAGTTCCTGCCTCTGATATGGACCAGGATTAGACTCTGAAACGAGTCAACAGTAAGTTAGAAATTAACTGGGAATGAAAACAGCTGCTATCTGGGCAGATCGTCCCATGAAAGCTGAATTTGTAACCAAGAACGGCAGAGCTTGCATCTATATTATTAATTGTCTACTCTTTCGTCAGAGTCTGGATGACTTTGGAGAACCTCTAGTTTGGGTAGAAATGTCCATTTTTAGGATGCACGAACACCCAAGATTCCAGGTAGACTTGGGTAGGTTGGGCCCTCAGGATCCTTATTGAAAATAATGATTCCAATACCTTCTAATAATATATGGATAGTACAATGGTCATATGGTCTTGGAGAGAGGGAGTGAGTAAATTTGTAGCCCTATATCAGAGTTTTCCAACTTCAGACATTTTAAGAAAAGAAGGATGAGGGGGGACATGATAGCAGTGTTCCAGTATCTCAGGGACTGCCCCAAAGAAGAGGGAGTCAAGCTATTCTCCAAAGTGCCTGAAGGCAGGACAAGAAGCAACGGAAGGAAACTAACCAAGGAGAGAAGCAACCTAGAACTAAGGAGAAACTTCCTGACAGTTAGAACAATTAACCAGTGGAACAACCTGCCTCCAGAAGCGGTGAATGCTCCAACACTGGAAGTTTTTAAGAAGAGACTGGACAGCCATTTGTTTGAAATGGTATAGGGTCTCCTGCCTGAGCAGGGGGTTGGACTAGAAGACCTCCAAGGTCCCTTCCAACTATTATTATTATTATTATTATTATTATTATTATTATTATTATTATTATTATTATTATTATTATTGTTATTGTTATTGTTATTGTTATTGTTATTGTTATTGTTATTGTTATTGTTTTGTTGTTATTTGTTATTGTTATTTGTTATTGTTGTTTGTTGTTGTTATTAAATGAGAATCTCCTGCGTCAATTTCCATTGTTTGCATCCATTTCTGACATTGAAGTAAGGATATGTTTTATGCCAATGGCATGAATTGGAGCTGGAATTTAATCTGTTCCACGCGAAAAGTCTGTTGCAGCAAACTCCAAGAAATTAAGATTTTACTGAGAAATAAAGGGAAATTCAGATGGTGCTCTAATTCCAGAGAAATCAAACGCCACACTATCAAACTGCCCTAAATATCAAGGGGCTCAGAGACAGGGTGTTAAGAGGTTACCAAGGACTCAGCAACTTGCTAAGGCTTCTGATTCACACGCGCCCCGTTCTGCAGGCCCACGGCCGAGCGGTTTAGTGACAAGCAGAGAAATGTCAGCAAAAAGGGACGCTGAGGAGGGGTTAAAGGAAAGCAGGCGCAAGCAAGAGAAGGTGAAAAGAGAGCTACGTACCTCCTAGCGCAGAATAAGAAGGGACAGCCAGTCACAGAACAGAAAGGTGATAGATCTCAGCCCAAAAGGAAAACAAGAAGGCACGTTTAAACCACTTGTTTCCCCCCACAAAAATCACAGCCCCAAATCAAATCAACAGAAAGGCACAAATAACAAAGTGGGGAAAAACAGAAGACATTCAGGTATAAAAAGAAAAAAAGCGTGTGAATTTCCTGGTAGCTAACCAATATTAAAAAAAATACATTAAGAATATAGGTGGTCCTCAACTTACGACCGTTGGTTTGTAGTTACAACGGCACTAAAAAAAAGTGTCTTATGACCCTTTTTCACACTTAACGACCGTTACAGCATCCCCATGATCACGGGATCAAAATTCAAATGCTTGACAAATGACTCATATTTACGACGGTCGCAGCTTCCCGGGGTCACGTGATCAAAATTCGGACGCTTGGCAACCGACTCACGTTTACGACGGTCGCAGCGTCCCGGGGTCACGTTATTCAATTTTGGCGACCTCCTGACAAGCAAAGTCAATGGGGGGAAGCCAGATTCACTTAACAACCGTGTCACTACCTTAACAACTGCAGCGATTCACTTAACAAACGTGGCAAGGATGGTCGTCAAAGGGGGCAAAACTCGCTTAACAAATGTCTCACTTAAGAGCAGAAAATTTGGGCCTCAATTGTGGTCGTACGTCGAGGAGATTATTTAAATCCAACCGAGTTTTCGATGCTCGGGGGAAAAAAAAAAAAGAGAGGTGGCCTGCGTTTCTGAGGAGATTGGCAACCTCAGAAATCCGACTCCACAGCTCGGCCTAAAATGATCAAAAAAAGCGAGAGATCCGCCATGCAATAAATGCTTTCAGCACAAAAAGGATAATGCCGCCATTCAGTGGGATTTCCAGCCCAGCAGTGGAAGGAGAGAAAGGGGGAAAAGACAAACGAACCGTCAGCCGAGGGAAAAGGTGGAAAGGAAGAATCGATCTACTAACCTAATTTCAGGAGCCAGCCTTCTCGATCTGGATTAAAAAAGGTATGGGTTAAATCGTTCCCGTCGTCTTCTGGAATTTTGAAGGGCTCGTTTTTAATGCTTTCGTATAAATTCTAGAAGAAACCAGAGGGCAGAGGAGGTTAACGCCACCTGGACGAATACAAATTCTGTGTTTGGGGCAAAGGATCAGGACCGTACGTTAAGTTGCTGTTCAGAAGATTCATTGCTCAAGCCTGTACACAAGAATCTAGTCGACTAAAGTTCACATCTGAATTGGTGCCAGATAAGAGTCAATGGAATTCAAAAGAGGTTTGGAATGTTTGTGGGAACGTAACAACTCTAGGCTAATGACTCGCTTAACTCCACCCCTGGCTCTGCTTGCTCTTCTCCTACATTCTGTCCAGAAATCAAGAATCTATTTTTTCTCGGAGAACCAATCGGTAACTCCTTCTTTCCAGACCTTCCCCTCCTTTTCAAACCTGGAGTTAGGACCCGCAACTTGAAATGAAATCTAGTTTGGTCTACAATCTGGAAAAGGGCGTTGTCTTACCTGAACGCCTATTCTCAGCATGATGATGGAGAATTGACCCCCCCACCCTTAGGGTCTGTAGACCTGGGTTCAATATAATAACAGACAGCTTTTGCGTCGGACTAAGATCTGCGTATCGCCTAGTCTCAAAAACTGGGGAGCACATGGCGCAGCACGAACTTTTATAGACTTCAGACTTAGTCCTGATTGGAGCAGGAAGGTTAAGATAACCCATTGGTGAATTCTCCATCCAATCATGCTGGAGAATGTGTTTTCAACATGTCACCCAAATTTAGAGGTTGCATGACCTGGAGAGATACTGTGCTGAGAACGCTGTTGAATTGGTTTCTACAATCATCATCCCAAGAGTTGATTCACTGATTCCTTGGCCACCCTTCAAACCTCACCATCACATGTTCAAGTTTGCAAAGCCACTTACCCGTAGCAATTCTTCCGGGAGATCTCCTCCCTCATTAATACCTCGGTTCATAGATATAAACCTCTCTGCTGTTGGCTTGTCTCTCACGTTGTGGTTATGCAGACTGGTATTCAACATAATGATCGCAAAGGAGAGGACGTAGCAGGTATCTGGGGAACGGAAGATCAAAGCAGAACAGTTGCTTGCAAAACCAGTCTCTGGCAAATTAGGAATGAAGCAAACCAGAACATTTTCCTCTCTCTGACGACCCCCGGCAGAGAGAAAAGACATCCTGCTGGAGTTGTGTTGAACTTGGGACACAGCTCTCTCGGCACGTAGCTGAGAAGGAAATCTTATATAAGTTTGCATGAAATGACTACTGGTGGTCCTCACGACCACAGTTGAGCCCAAAATTTCATTGCTAAGCTAGACCGTTGTGAAGTGCGTTTTGCCCCATTTTACAGCTTTTCTTGCCGCAGTTGTTAGTGAATCTCCGCAGCTGTTCAGTTAGGAATGCGGTTGTTAAGCGAAGCTGACTCGGCTTGTCAGAAGGTCACAAAAAGGGGATCAAGTGACCCCCGGGACAGAGCTCATGTATCCCTGAACCAATTTGTGTATGTGGCCAATTCCCCTGCCTTCCACCCAACCTCGGTTGCTCTAAAGAGGTTTGCAAAACCTTCCAAAACAAACATTCAATAGTTGTTACCAGTGGCAACCACGACAAAAGCCATCCAAGCTCTGACAACACCGAACCCGTCGAGACTTGCGGAATGTGGAAATCCAACCGATAAGGACCAATACAGGTGGGAAAGGCCACACCCACTCACCTGTAGACTGGAAGACCCCAGGGTTGCAAAGGCAATAGCGCGAAGCAAAGGCCTCCATCATGCGGTCGATTTTTTGAGCTTCTCCCGGCAGCCTAAAACTCCACAGGAATTGCCTGCAAAGATATCCAGAAAGTCACATGTTGCACAAGATCAGTCAAGCCAATCTTCTCTGAAGCTGTGATTTTTCACGACAGCCATCATATGGCAGTGTGTTAAACGTTGCAGTCCACATACATTTAACATTCCCCCAATCCAGGAGAGATATGGCTTACAGAATCATGGAATAACAGCATTGGGAGGGACCGTGGAGATCTTCTCGCCCAACCCCCTGCGTAAGCCAGAGACCTCATACAATTCTGGACAAACGGTTGTCCAATTTCTTCTTGAAAACCTCCAAGATTGGAGCACCCACAACTTCTGGAGGCAAGCCGTTCCACCGGCTAATTGCATGTTTCCAAATCTTTTAGGGGCCATGCTAAGCC